AGGAGGATAACCGCTGGGCCTCTGGGCACCCGGTTATCGGTAGCTGGCTATCTAGACAAGACTGTGGAGACTCTGACTAACATCTAACACGGTTACATGCACAACGTTAATTTCTACTAATGTTAGCTAACAGACGCTAACCTGTGTCTGCGTTTATCACTCTTCATATCCATAACATTTTCTGTGTTTTTACAAACGCCAGACAGTAAAGTAACACATGAGTCTTTTTACTCACCTTTTCCTCTTCCATTAATGAAATAGCTTCTTCTGGGACTCCTCGACCACGCAAAAATTCACTTAAATCCGACATTTTCTGGGCAGCACGTAGCTCCTCTCCAGCATGACTCAAAGGCACTCACTGAACTTGGATCCCTACAGGTACCCATACTTCTGAGTTTAAAGTCAGAATTCTGAGAATAAAGTCAGAATTCTGAGATTAAAGTCAGAATTTAAAAAAAAAAATTATGCAGTGGCCCTAATACTCTTCCGTAGATTTGATACACCTCTTCAGCATGGTCTTTGCCATGTTTTCTGTTATTCTCCTTGCGCAACAACTATCACCTATCATGAATGTTGGTAACCCTGCTGTCATCTGCTTTAATGCTCTTGTGCACTGTCAAGAAAGTGCAGAGCGGAAGTATAATTTGAGCTGTAGCCTATTCACCCTGATCAAACAGTCAGTTTTCCAATATCAAGCCAGTCCTGCAGTATCCTGTGTTTCAGAACAGTAAAAACACACTGGACACAATCATCACATTCATTGAAAAATACAGATACCACAGTGCTCATATACAGACTGAACAAATGTTACAAGGATTAGCAGAGGAATGTCAGCTGATGATGTGCTGAGGATGCCCAGCTGCAGACTTTAATATCTTTAAAGTCCTTGAATGAGTACAGAATGCTCCTTCAAGTGTGCACATCAGTCAGTTCCTAGGGCACTAGCTGGTTGGGAATTACCCATTGTATCCACTGTCACTGTTCGCCAGCTGATGAACCACCAAGGGTACAGAAAGCTACTCTACATTGACAGCCCATTACATCAGTCCTGAGTGGGAAATAAAACATCTTCTTCTGCAAACTTGCCATTTATATGAGCAGCAAGCGTAAATTACAGCAAGTACTGTCAGAGTAAAATATAAGTCATACAAATTATTTAAATATTAAAATATATAACAAATTTGCCATTAAAGAGAATCTGCAAAACTGATACTCTAACCCAGGTAATAAGGACTTACAAATGCTAGTAGTTGCATATAAAGTAAATTTACTTAACTATTGTATTTTTGTATAAATTTAAGGTACTTGTACCCCAGTGTTTCTTGCAGAATTTGATTATACTTGTGGCTAACGTTGGGTGGGGTTGGAGTTTCATGCTAGTGTTACTTTAAGTTACATACTGTAGCTTTAAGAGGGTAATATTATACTTTATAGCTTTGGTTACTGTTTAGATTGTAGATTAAGATTTTACATAGCTGCAATGCTTATGATGCATTGTGATGATGCATTTTTATAGATTAAACTGTGCAAGAGGATGCATAAAAGTAAGCTTTGGCTCCAGCTCAACTGGCTACAGCAATTAAGTGCTACATGCACATGAATGCATCAGTAATTATAATGCACTAAAACCCCATACAGCCCTTTTTTTATGCATTATGAGTACTTTGAAGTCTGGTAGCAAATATCTTTAATATTGATTTCTATCAGTTTGGTTATTAAAGAATTGTGACCAAGATATAAATCAACAGGCCATTTAACAGTTGAAAAATAAATGTGTCGGCGCTTTCTGTGTTGCAATTTCATGTTTGTATATGTCGATATAACTAATAAGCTGATATCAACCAATAATACATGTAATCCCATTGTATTGGTCAGTCTCTAACCCAAACAAACAGGAGTCCAGCATGAAAGGGATGGGTGTAGAAAGAAGCTGTGAAAAAAATGAGCTAGAGAAATGACTTTGTGAAGTCAGCTAGCAGAGGCTGTGATGAGCAAGAGGTGAATATCAAACTGGGGATGGAACAAAGTAATTTGTTTCTTTGTTTCTGTATTTGCTTCCTGGTAGTGTTATAGCTTGTTCCTTTGATCAGTGCCTCAAAGCTTGTAATAGTGCAAAACACTGCATATGTCAAATTACTGTGGAAGGATAGCAGGGGCATACCCAGTTCCACTTTCCCACCTTGCCAGCCTCATCTAGTGTCAAGTTTCTATTCACCAAATCCATTTTTAGGAGCAACTGACTGCAATCTAGCTAAAAGCTATGCAGTGGCATGGATAACATCATAGGCACTGTAAAGGGGGGTGGGAGGTTGGGGGTAGTTATCGATCAGATACAGCAGGAGACACAGGTGGAGCCACAGGATCTCAGGTAAGTTCAGTTTTGGGGGGGGGCAAGGATTAAATTCATTAATGAGGCCCAAAGTCTCTAGCAACACCCATGGATAACCTAAATGTGCAAATGGAGTATTAACGCCTACCAATACAAGGCATGGTCGAGGTGAGCAATGATGCAGAGCCTCTTCAGATGCACAAAAAAGTGCTGTTTGAGTAAAAAGAGGATCAATTCTGAAATCCAGCTGAATAATAGCCCTGGTACTGTAGGTGGTAAAGGGTTGTGTGTTGGAAAGAAATACAAAATGAAGAGATACTGTCTTTTTGTTATAAATATTGTACTGCTGAGGCTGTTGATGGATTAATATAAGAACTCTGAGCTCAGTTTAATGAGCTGGACATATGCTTTGATTGTTTTATTAAAATAAAAAGGCTTGTTGAGTTGGAAGGACATTTAACCGATTCTTGATACATCTAATACACCCTCACTAACAATAAGCATTTCATTTTGGATTGTAAAGACAAATAATTACTGCACTGCTCTGAATTCTCAAATCTCTCTTGTCGTCATATGCATTTAAGCTTAAGTTCAATTTGACAGCTACTGTAAACGCTGAATTATTAAGAGGTATCTCATACAAGATCACCTCCTACATCGAGACACTGTATTCATCTGTCACAGAAAAAGACTTAAAGGAACTGCCTGGCTCTTCATCATGTACAGAAGCAGCTGATCTGATGTAACAGCCCCTACACATGATGGAGACCCAGGTTGGCCTAGCAATGTTGCATATATATATCTTTAAAGGCCACATTCTACAGCGAGGTGGGTCTTTGTAAAACTACATGTTTTTGGAGCTAACACATGAACAAAGAAGGTGTATGAGACTTAGTACACATGATTGCTATTAAAGAGAAATTCTGTCTGACTTATTGTTGAGGGAAAAATGTACATTTTAACAACACTAAACTTTCAGTAAAAATTTTACTGACTTCTTGACTTCTGGAACTTGTGACCATATGGTTTGGGTATATCTTCATCCCCAAGTAAGCCAACCTTACGGTTACATTGTGTGCCATCAGTCTCCTCTGAGGCATTTTTGAAAAGTACATTTAATTTGAATTTCTAATTACTCACTCCTCTTATCCCCAGTGGCTTGCCAAACCAGAGATGAAGCCAAATGAACTCGGCCTCGCCAATTAGCCGAGTAGGCTGCTCAAGCTAATGACATGAACTACAGTCTGTGGCAGTTTCATTGCTGCAGGAGGCCCTGAGGTCTGCAGGATCCCTCCCTCACAGATGAGAAGATTTAGGAAGGATTTCACTTCCTAAGCCAACTGCAACATTAATTACGTTAAGGTGCCTGAGAGTATGATATAGTCTCTCTGCCCTCTGGGGCCACAATTGAATTTCTTCAATTGACCTGTACCAGAACATTTAAAGCAAGCTGGTTTTTATGAGAGCACTACCTGAAGAGTTTTAAATGACCATTAGGATTGGAGAATGATTATGAAGCATTTACTTATTACTATATAATGATCCAATTCAGACTAATAATAGTTACAATTCAGACCTCTGCTGAAGCACCAAGTAGATGAACTTAATTAGTTTTATTATGCATTTTGTCTTCCTGCTATATTTTTGCAGTGGCCTCGAGTGCAAGGAGAAGTGATCTTTAGCACGATGCCCATACTGGTGTGCAGATCTTTGTAAACATGTGGTGAGAAATTTTGGGGTGTTGTTTGACAGTGACTTAAAGTTTGATAAGCAGATCAGTGCTATTGTGAAGTCAAGTTTTTTTTACAATTACAGTTGTTCAGTAAAGTGAGGCCTTTTCTTTCATTTAATGATTTTGAAATTGTAATCCATGGTTTTGTTAGTTTTGTTACTGCCTGCATTTTACATCCTGCCACTATGTGTTGCATTGTTTCTTTGCACAGTCTGCACCCGGGGTCCTGTCTTGTGTGGTAAACCCCTGCTTCGATTGATCTGGCACTTAGGGCCTGTTCTTGTGCTGCTATGATCAGTGCCTCAGTGCTGTCTGATAGGCCAGCCTTTTCCAGCCACTGGTAGGAAGTCATCTGTTGGTGGTACATCCCATGCAGGGCCTTATCATGCCATGACACTTCCTCTTGTTATGGTAGCCCCCCTCACCAGGAGGGTGAGGGAGGACTGAGGTTGGACTCAAGTGTGCAGACCCAGGTGCTAGGGGGAAAAACATGATGGTAGCAGGTAAATAAAGAGAACACAAAGTATCAAAAGAACATAACATGGGAAGGTACGGTGCTTGGATATGTATGATATGTAGTGTAGTGTAAATTAGCGTAGCTTGTAGGTAGTGTGGTAGAGTCAAGCCAAAACGCACAGTGTCTGTCAGCGTAGCATTCTACCAACATGTACAGTCCGCGTTACTATGTTAATGTTCCAGCAAAAGCGGAGCGTCTGCCAGAGGTTTATATAAGGAGGCAAAGGTAATCATCGGGATGCACCCCAGCTGTGTGCATCGACAAACCAGTTGCTAATTACTGGAATGCAACACAGCTGAGGTGCAGAGCCCACAGGATAAAGAGAGCAGAGGAGAGAAGGACGGAGGAGAGGCAGCGGCCGCCAAGTGGCCCTGACACCTCTGGTTGGTCTCCAGCCCCCGTC